GCTGCTGCTGCCTGGCGGCCTGCGGCACAGCTCCAGGGATGGCTCCGTGGGGGCAGCAGGAGGTTTTGTAGGCAGTAGCTGTCGCCGCTGGCAAGGGCCTCCAGGTAAGTGGCAGAGGCCGCCATGTGTAAGTCCTCCCACCCTACTTCATCCCTCGCTGTGGCTGCAGAGCTGGCCATGGCCCTGCCCTCACCCCCTGGCCCTGCTCCCATCCATGATGTGCCACCTGGGGCTGGCAGCACGCCCTGCTCCCTCAGCCCCCAACCATCTTCCCCAACCCTGCCCCACAGCCCCCAAACCCCACTTACCTCTAGGATCTAGGGGCCAAGGGCATGGCTCTGCGGTGGCAGCGCTTGCCTGCAAACCCCCCCCAGCCTGCATGCAGTCGCCCCCACCCCGCACCACTGCAGAGCCGTGCAGCTGGTTGCAGGGCATGCCACTGCATGCAAGTCCCCTGTTCCACTCCCGAGCCAGGTGGCACATATGTGGCCCGCACACAGTGGTTGCCACTGCACTGCCACATCCTGTGCCACTTGCCCACAAAGCCGTGCAGGTGGCCATGGGATGGTAGTGCAGGGTGCAGTGGCAGAATTGCGATGGCAGCCTCTGTGTGCGAACTCCCTGTCAGGCTAGCCGGCATGTGTGTGGCCCACAGAGTGGCACCCCTGTCCTCACCCCCTGGCCCTGCTCCTGGGAGTGGGCACAGGGGCACACTCCCCCTCTTTTTGATCTAACCCCCCCAGCACCTTCCCTTTCCCCTGCCCCCACCCACTTACTTGCTGCGGTGGGTGTCAGTGTCTGCATGTCTGTGTCTGCATGTCTGGGGGGCTGTTGCAAGGTGCATCAAGAGGGCTGTTGAGACTGTGGTGGGGGGAGTGCAGGGCACCAGCAGCGCTGGGGGAGGGCTGTGGGGGGCCTTTAATTTTTATCACGGATTTTGGGTTTTTAATCAGAGAATTTGCAATTTTTAATCAGAGGAAACCAGGATCCCTGGCGATGACAAAGCAAACTAGGCAAATATAATGTGGTAATGTAGCAACATAATGTTAATTGGGGGTTTTGATCCCTCCCCCCAGCCCCCCAGGGAAAAATTCTTACATTTTCTTGGTAGGTCCCTCCACCTCAGCTTCCCGCAGGCAAGAAGAAAGTATTTTTGCATAAAAGTCCATCAAACAGCATAGCAAAAAGAAGAGGACTAGAGATGTTCTCTGACATGTCACACAAGGCACTAAACAGCTGGAGTAGCACAATCAAAGAAGGCCAAAGACAGTAACATATTTCCCTTTCCTCAGGCATGATTAGAGGAATAAGATTCAAAACTAGTCTTGAGTGGATGCCCTTCATGATGATCACAAGGCAGCAAACCCCAGAAACGGTGGCAGCATAGGAGGAACCTTAAAATATTCCCCACCTGCAAATCATCTGCTTGGTTGAAACGGATACCATCAGGAACAGCTCATCTATGACGGTAATAGGAATGGACAGAAAAAAGAAGTCTGCAGAGCCAGAAACAACAAAACGGTTTTGGAAACCTCAAAACCATTTTGCACAAACCAAAGCCACTCTCTAATGTATTGCGAATGAATGAAATGTGTGACTCTACAGTGTGGAGACTGACAGGTGCACTTGTGTACTTGTCAGATGCTTATACATGGAGAGGGCATTTGAGTTCCAGGCCCTGTTCAACAGTCACAGATCTGGTTAAAGCAAATGGTCCTAAGCACCTCAGGCTAAAAGGAGGAATTAAGCCACTTTATCTGTTGAGATACCTGGAAAGAATAGGTACTACCTCAGGCAGAGATCAACAACATTTTCCAGCAGTGGGCTGGAATGACCCAGTTTGGGTCTGAGGTAGGCTGGCGCTAGGGCCTGGTTTCTGCTGCTGCTTCTTCCTGCTTGCACTTCTCCATGTGGCCAGACTGCAGCACAGCACAAATGAAGCCCTCCCCACCCCAAACATTTTCAAGCCACAAGTAAGAACAACTGGCTCTAGTCCATCCAGTGTGGGCCTGGTGGCTTTGGCAGCATGACAGCAGCTGGAAGCTTTGCTGGTGCCACTTTTCCTAGCCTCCCACTGGAAGTGAGTGCAGCTTCCAGCCAGAGGGGAGCAGTGCTGGGAGGGGGTCAGGCAGTTGGGAACTGCACCCACACAGCTGCTGCCACTTCTCCCTGGCTGCACTGTGGGTGCAGCTTCCACCTGGTGGGGAGCTCCTTGCTTCCCAGCTCCAGCAGGGGATCAAGCAGAGGAAAAGCCTTTTGGCTCTGTGAGCTAGATCCAGTGGCTCCATGGGCTAGATCCAGCCCACAGGCCATATTTTGCAGACCCTGCCCTAGGTCTTATGGAAAGGCCTGATCATAAACTAAACTCAGATCCTGCCGTCTGCGAGATTTCCCTTCTTTGACTGTAGACACGAGCTATTGGACTACTGGTGTCTGTCAGGCTGAATATATATGGGTAATAGTGTTGTTAACTTGCAATTTATTACAGCTCTAGTACTTTTAGGGTGATTTTTTACCTGTCTCATGGTAACATGATAACTGGCCACTGAGTCAATTTACTATTAGGAAAAATTGATGCCATAGCACGTTATTCCCAGAACTGAAGCTAGGAAGGTGGGCACCACTTCCCCATAAACTATTGGGATATGGGGAGGAGGCTGCCTTTAATAAAGGTGGCTGCTCCCTCCCAGTATTTTCAGTTACACTGAAGAAGTGTCCATAGATAAAATTGCTGCTACTCTATGGCTCAAGGATCTAGACAGCATACTATTAGGATGTGAACTATGAGGAGCTGCGGAGACACATTGAGACAGAAATGTAGAGAACATGGTTCTTAGATGCAGGAGGTGGATAGAGGTGGTATGTGGGGTAGACAGCAAGGTCCTCACCATGGGGGTACAAAGAGTAATGATGGGAGGCCATGGAAGGAACTGTGCTCCACACTGTCCTGAGGCTTCTCTGCTTGGGATTTGGCATTTGATCTTGTGGTATACAGGTGCAATTATCCCTTGCATATTATTTTTCACTTTTATCACCTTTCACTCTCTTGTCACCTGGAATTTATTTTCTAACAGAGAGAAAAGACCCCAAAGCAGCAGGAGGAGAATTGAGAAAGCACTTCTGCGGCGGAGGCTGGGGGTGGTGTCAGACAAAAGATAGCTCCTACGGTAACAGCAGGGAAGGATAAAAAGTTTTAGTTATTTGAACAATTAATTATAACAATTTTTTCCAAAAAGCTCCACTTATTGAAATGAGTGGAGAACTGATACATTTGACGTAACTGGTGAAAATCATACAAAGAAATAAGAATGATTTTAGTTCATTTTCAAATATTTGCAATACAATTTGTTTCTAAATATAATTTTATAATTATCATAGCGTTGAAGAGGTGTTGGTTGCTGCCTGATGCTCCAGGCAAGGCGTCTCGCATCTTTTATCGGACTACCCGTCACCTTGACCTGTCCCAACCCTGCAGTTAGCCCAAGAAGAGCTGCCACCACCCCCAAGCACTCCTGCCTCCGGTGGGATTTTAAGGACAAGTCGTTCCACCAAGCAGCAGTGAGCTGTGTCTTACATGGCGGTGGTGCTGGGGCAGGGTTAGGCAAAACACGGCCTGTTGGCTGGATGCGGCCTGCCAGGCCAATCTATCCAGCCCGCAGGGCCCCTAACAAATTTAGAAAATGAGTATTTATCTGCCCCCCACTGCCCGTCCTGCAGCCCTCCATGGCTTGCCAAAACTCAGCAAGCGTCCCTCCGCCCCAAATGATTGCCTGTGCCTGCGTTGGGGTCAGGAAAAAATCCAAGGAGCAAGGACTTGGGGGTGGGCTGTTTATCTTCCTCTGGAGCAGCCCCGTGCCGGGAGGCAGACGCACGAGCTTTGAGGCAGGAGGGCTCCAGGGTCGCGCTGGCTCATGTAAGGACTGCCGCAGCTCTGCTCAGCGTCTTCTTGGGGAAGGCGGAGGCTGAAACCAGAGCACGCTTTACTGGAGCTTCATTCTCGCCTTTGCTAGCCCCGGCCCAGAGAGACGGGGGCCGGGGGGGAGCAGAGCCCCGTGCCGGGAGGCAGACGCACGAGCTTTGAGGCAGGAGGGCTCCAGGGTCGCGCTGGCTCATGTAAGGACTGCCGCAGCTCTGCTCAGCGTCTTCTTGGGGAAGGCGGAGGCTGAAACCAGAGCACGCTTTACTGGAGCTTCATTCTCGCCTTTGCTAGCCCCGGCCCAGAGAGACGGGGGCCGGGGGGGAGCAGGTGGGCTTAGTGCTCCGCCGCGCCGGGCGCGGGCACAGG